AGAGAACCTCTGGTATCGACGACCTGTGTAAAAGAGTAGGTTATATACTGAACTGCAGATGCACGAAACAGCTGAAGTTGCCAGTATTTACATGCATAACAGTCAAGAACATAATCGAATGGCAGTATTCTTTTAGAGAATCGTCTAATGTCAGGCCATAATCAATAAACACGTTGTCTTCTATAACGTAAAGACGTAAATTTTTTCATTCCCCACTAATGGATTTTTTTCTTTTTTGAGGCAGCAAAAAAAAAACAGCTATTTTTTTCTGCAAAGCGATAAATGTAAACATGTTTTGTTCAAACTGCTGTCTAAATGATATGCAGCAGATGGCACGTTTGTAAAGAAGAACTAAAGTGGAAAAAAAGCCGGAAAACGTTTGGTGTGGAGTGTGGCTTTGTGTTCAAGTTTTATTTTCATTCTATTCTCAATAACAAAACTTTTGATTGCATTAATCAAGATTCGTTGGCTGTTCCTTTCAAGCTCAGAAAAAATTACTCTCAGTTTTAGTTCTGCTAACTTTTCTTTTTACGCTCAATCACCTACAGAGTTTTGAGAAGAATAATGCATTCACCGACAGTCTAGCCTAACATTAAACTGTTCGCAAACAACACCTGTCACAAAAAGCTGGCTCCAAAGAAGAGAAGATTTAGAATTATTTGTGCTTCACGCACACACAGATACTGATTTTGAGATGAATAAACATATGACAAAACTATAAAAAACTCTAAAAATCAGTAAAAACTTCCCCGATTTATTCCAGAAGTATTATTAAACCACAATAATACAACTTTACCAAAAAACGTAATAATACTCCTTAGTGACACTGTCTCAAAACTGTGCTTTCCACTGCATATATAAACTATTTAACCTTTTTTGGAAGTTAAGTTTTAGTGAAGCAGTAGATGACAAAAAATAGTCTAAAACAAAATTTGCACCCACTGTCCTCAACAAATCTTTTCGGCCATCCCTCAAAGAAACACAAACTGAACTCAACAATTTTTTTTGAAATTCATTAGTTACTCGTTGAAAATAGTTTAAGAAGTCTTTGCTCATTAGAAGCAACATGTGGTTACAAACGAAAAGCTAACGTCCAGAAAACTCGGTCAATATTTTTTCAATAATAGTTTGATTTAACACCGAAAATCGGTAACAAAATTCATTTCAACGCTACTCCTTCCTAATATTATAACGAAAAAAACTAAATATCATTTAAATAAAGTCGTCTCGACTGGAAAATCTTCTGCCACACACCTCAGAAGAATAAATAGTTCTAGTAAATCAAAAGTGTAAATTTCAGTACGCTTCAACTCTGCCACAATATTCAAGTGTTCAAAACATCAATAGTGTTTTCCAAAGTGATGTCAAATGATCTAAAAACATACTTGCAAAACGAAAACTAAATCAATATAATTAATTGAATAATGCTGCAAAATCAGCACTGTATTAAAGAAAACGGCACCAATAATGTCTAAAAAATAAAAAATAATTGAAATAAAGTTAAGAGAAATCTTACTCAGCAAAAAATAATTATCTTTCATAATTCATAGTACTATTCGTCATGGTACTTTTGAAGAACTTTAAAAAGGCATTTTTTGCTATTCTAATCTAATAAACTGCTACAAAAAAAAATAAAAAAATAAAAATAAAAACAAAAAAAGGACTCACAAAGCTCATCGAATGACAGATGACAAAGTATAATCTCCAGAAATCCGTAATACAGGCCCAAAGCTCTGGAAAAATATACTTCGGGAGTGGTGCAAAACTTCGGTAGATAGAGCATTTGAACACAAAAATGAACAGGTTTCCGAGAAATCATCAAAACAACTGATTATGCAAGAGGGGATTGCTTTATCAGTAATTCATTTAGTTCTCTTTTCCTACACTATCGAACAAATTCACCACCAAAAGTATTTCGCCAACAATTCGTTGCAAAAGGTTCCAGAGATCTGTATTTAAGCAAATTTCGAAGTCAGACAACAGCTGTTTACAAACGGCGTGATTAATTTTTTTGAATCTGCTCCTTCGCTTCAATGTCAGAACAATATTTTTACGCCTATAACTTCATTTTTTTTCTTCAAAACTTGCAACAGCAGAGAAGTAAACAGATGCAGCATATTCAGGACAAAAAGTTAATTCAAACTACCGGAAAGACAGAAATGGAGTTTTCTACGACTTTATCTTTTCTTGTAAATTATTGGTAACCGGTATTACTACAAACATAAAACAGAAAATATTTGGTATAAACAAAGTTTGAGACAGAAGAAATTTTAAAATGTAAAAAATAAAAAAATAAATATTCTGATGAAACTATTAAACAGTTTTTTATCTAAAAACTCTTTTTTCACCGTATAACAAAATGCAGGTTAATAAAAATTATTATTACAGCTACCCAAGGACAAGATCCCTAATGTCAACTAAAATAATCGACAAGGTTACAGACACTGTTTTTGTTGTTGATGTTGCTTGGCTTTTCCGTCAAGAAAAGAGTTCTCTTAAAAGCTCAAACGATTGTAATTACCTAAAAGATAGATTTGAGATTGTTAGAAGGTCGGATAAAAACTAATGCAAGTTCCATTAAAAAAAATCAACAAAGCAGATAAAAAATTGATAGTTCCAAAATAACCGTGGAGCTCCGCAAAATAAAAAAACTTTTTTACTTTTCTAAGAATTGTACAGTTACCGACTTACAATAAATCCAAATTCGAAAAAAAACCAACCTGTTCTACACGTCCAAACATTCTGAAAAATTATCTGAAAAGGTGTCAAGTAATCCGACAATATTTTTTCTCTTACAGTAAAGAAGATAAATGCAAACTATTCACGACATAAACAAACAAAAAGAAAGTAGTTTGTGATTCTGTAGGAAAACTATGAGCGTGTGCCTAACTCTTCACCAGTTCTTTCCGTTAGTTTGCAACAAAAAATCAGAAATTTATTTAAAATTTTCTACTGCCTATCTTTTACTGACAACAAGCCTTTCTGACATATACAGTCCCAGCAGAATCCTGAGATACATATATACTACATTGTTTTTAATAAATCAAATCGTTTCCATAAGTTTTCATGTCCTATCTTAACGCAGAGATGCTGACGAAAAAAAGCTTATAAAAATTCTTTGTATTTCTTAGTCTAAGCGCTTCTCTCTCTTCTCTTTTTTTTTTTTTTTTAATTTTGTTCTTTGCAGTAATAAACTTAAACATATCGATAACCTTTCTGAGATTTATTGCTCATAATAAATGAAACAAAAAAGTGTGCCCAGAAAAAAATCGCCAAAAAAAATCAAACAAAATCGAAACATAAGCAATTTTTTCTTCCCTCTCCTCCCTTACAAAAAACACAGAGTACACGATAGTCAATAGCTATCCATATCACGATAGGCCATATTTATTACTCTTGACAAAATTTTTTCCTCATCAAACAGCAAATACCACACTTGACAAGATCAGGACGATCTGTCGCACAGCATGTATACTCATCTAAAAGATGCCGTTTCCGAAAAGACGATCCTTGCAGTTCGACCACTTTTTCCTATTCAGATATACGCTATTTTAAATCCAAATAACAGCCACAAAAAAGTATCACATTTATACTCTCAGGAAATTCAAGTGCAAAAAATAGCAAGAATATATTTACCAAACTACTAAGACTGCGCTCAGAATATGCCTAAATGCATTGCCGAAGGAAATTGGCTGTAAAGCTTAGAATGGAAAATAAAAAGTGGCAACAGTCCAACAATGCTTATTAAATTTTGTGCTTTTTCTTTTCAGAAGTATCTGCAGTA